CCCAAAAAGCTTCATAAAATCGCTCAAAAACCGCTTCAAAGCCCTTTCAAAAACTATTATATACCGTCCCAAAAACGTCTTTAAAATCGTTCTAAATAAACTCTAATTACGCTATAAAACTGGTTTAAACCGTTCTACAACCGCCTCAATAAACGCCATAATATAAGCTACAAAAATAACTCTAAAACGACTGAAATTATGCTTTAAAAACAATTACAGAAACTGCTCCTTGACCTTTCCAAAATCGCTATAAAATAGCTTCAAAACCCGCTCTAAAACCTTTCTAAAACCAAATTTAAATCGCCCCAAAAACCCTTTTAAAACTACTCGCAAAAACCATCGTTAAACTGCTCTAAACTCTCAAAAATCGTTCTAAATACGTTTCAAAACCGCTTCAAATATTAACCCTTAAAACCGCTTTGAAACTGCTCCTGTACTTCTCCCAAACTACAGGGTGTTTCATGCTGAATCACATCCTGGCTTTATTTGGGACACTCTGTATGTTATAACCCAATTCTTAAGTTAGTATTTAAGCTTTTGAGGTTGTTTCTGGGGCGGTTTTAGAGCGGTTTTTAAAGCGTAATTGAATTTACGTTGATTTACGTCGATTTTTGGAGAGTTTTAAAAGGTATTCGAAACGTAATTATGTTTTAGAGTAGAACCTACTTGATAAGTTCGTGATAGGTTTGTAAGAATTAGAGCTGTTTTAGAAAGATTTTGGAGCAGTTTTAAAGTGGTTTTTAGAGCGGTTTTGAATCGCAATCAAAGCTGTTTTAGAACGGTCTTATCGAGTTTTTGGAGTGGACATTAGCAGTTACGACTGTTTTTTAAAAATAGCAGTTTTGCCCATCTCTAATAAATCGGTCTGATTATCTTAATTATTGTCTTTATCGATAATTATAAGACGATTCAAAACAGCTTAGGACAATTTAGATTCCAGTCTAGAACCATTTAGAACTGACTAGAACCATTTAGAACGCTCCAAAATCGTTTAGAGCTGTCTATGAACCCTTTAGAACGCTCCAGAACCATTTAAAACTGTTCAGAATTATTCAGACCATCGGATTTAAGTGCAATTTTTAAAGAGCAATCAGATCGGTTATTAAACCGGGTTTAGAAGAATTTTAAATCAGTTTTAGAATGATTTCTGAAGATCCATAATTATATAAGTTTTGAGAGTAGTTAGATCAGTTTTCGGAGCGGTTTTAAATCGTATTTAAGGCGGTTTAAGAGCGGTTTTTGAAAAGCAATCAGATCCGTTATTAAAGCGGTTTTTAGAACGATTTTGAACCGGTTTTTGAACAGAAATTAAAGCAGTTTTGAAACGGTTTTGAACGTGATTTTGAAGAGGCTAATGAATTTCGATCGAACGAAGAAAATCGCAGAAATACTGCAAAAATTATTCCGGTTCGTTTTAATTACGTTTTCTAAACATGAATTTCCTCCTAATTTTCTATTCTTCATTCTAATCATCCCTTCGAAATGATTTAAAAAGGTTTAAAAATTCCTAAAAATTAACAAAAAATAGTTATAAAAAGGGTTATTGATCATAAAAAATTTAATCTTCGCCTTAACAGAATTCGTAACGAAGAAAGAGCATTCAAGAGACAGGAATAAAACGGTCGAAGATGAATGAAAATCTTCAAATTAATAGCAAAAAAAAGATTTTCGTTACATTCTATTATGACATTACAATGACATTAAAAATGATATTAAAAAAGCTTTAAAATAGCTAAATATAAAACGTTAGAAAATGGTTATTTTTATAAAAAACTCAACATTTTCCTTTACAAAGAAGAATTAGAACAATTTTAAGAGTAACAAGATCAGTTTTGTAAGGCGGTTTTGAAGCGGCTTTAGGGAAGCTTTAGAGCGGTTTTTGAAGAGCAATTAGGTTTAAGATCGGTTATTAAGTCGACTTTAGAGCAATTATGAAGCAGTTAGTTTAAGGGATGTTTTTAAATCGATTTTTGAAGAACAATTAGAACAGTTTTAAGAGTAATTGGATCAATTTTTACGGCGGTTTTAGAGCGATTTTTATAGAGCAATTATATTGGATTTGAAATATTTTTAGAATGATATTGAAGGCAGTTTTATGACGGTTTTGAATTAGTTTTAGAGCGATTTTTAAGCGAATTTAAAGGGGTTTTTGAAAAGCAATTAAATCGGTTATTAAACCGGATCAATTTTAAAGCATTTTTAGAACGATTTGAGAGCGGTTTTTTGAAGAGCAATTAGACCGGATTTGAAATTGACATCATCTTGCAGAGAGCTCTATGTAGAGGGCTATTCCTGAAGACATTGGCATCATGCATTCTTCCAGGCAATCCAATGTAACAATCGATGAACTTCCCAACGTGATTGCAGGTACTTAAGATTTAAAAAATACTTGTACATTTTAACAATTAACAAACCTTGTAAAATGATTGATTGGCGCCCCTCACACTCCAAACATTGAGCAAGTCTTTTTTAAACGATTCGTGTACCCTCTCAAGCATTTCCACCATTGGCACCTTGTGATTTTTTCCTGTGGGGATACCTGAAGTCAAACATTTATAATGAACTTCCTAGGACCCTGGAAGCCCTCAAAAATAACATTTGAGCTCAAATCGCCAAAATTCCTGTGGAAATGCTTGAAAGAGTAATCAAGAGTTATTCTAAACCGTTCTTAATCTTTCTGAAGCATTCTAAATTGTTCTAAACGGTTCAAAATCATTCGCTACAATTCGATAAATACTTTTTTTATAGCAAATTTAATGCACTTTTACGGTATATGATCAAAATTAATGTGACTATACGAATAAATGTGATATTTCGGTCTTTTTGGAAAAAAGCCAAAAAAAAATTTAAAATAATGAAATGTTAAATAACAGAGAAACTATCGACTTTTCGAAAAAGTGTTATAGGACATTTTTTTGTTCAAAATTACTTGTATAATCACCTCCTGAAGTTTGGCGGTTTTTATAGTAGACACCCTGTATAGTATGGGTCTTACGCTCTTTATAACCGAGTTACAGGGCGTTTTTTGAATTTAGCCCATTTATTTTAGGGCTTATAACTTTTGAATCACTCAGTATAATTATTTCATATTTTTCACAGATAATCTACATCTTTTTGAACAATTTATCGATACACTAAAAAATTCAAAATCCAGGTCCGGCTTAATAAAAATTATTAAAGTTTGACTATCCCCAAAACAACACCCTGTACATTGAATTTTTAAATATTGAATTGCAAATTTGGAAAGAGCACAAATAACTGAATATTACCATCAACTTTTTACTTTTGCGTAAGACCCATACTATATAGGTTTTTTGGGATCCCCTGGGTGACCTCTATATAGGGTTAAAATCTTTCCGTTTCGGAATGAATCGCCCTGTATCTTTATGGTAGTTATTTCGATTTGGTTCATTTTTTGGGAAAAGTATACATTTTGAACCAGCAACATACTGGAATATTCAGGATATAAAGGATATAAAGAACATATTTATGTATTTACAGAACGCAACAAATAATCTTTCAATAAGGATTAAATAAAGCAAAAATACTAATTAAATATTTTATTACAAACTGAAACTGAAAAAATTAAAAGAACTGTTAACTGATCAAAAGAACGTATTGGTATTATTTTAAAATTAGAAGAAACAACAGAGATTGTATTTAATAATACAGCCCATTTCACTGATAATAATTCTCATAAAATAATATTATCTTGTAAAGATTGCGATAGTCTCCATTTGAATCTTTAATTGAGTAATCTTTCTTTGGCTCAAGTATAAGTAAACCGTTTGTTATATCTAAACCAGTTAATGCGCTGTATATTTGACATCTAACTGAAGTCGAAACGAGGTTTACTTGAACTAGTCGGTACTCTAGACAATCATCTTTATTATACCGTCTCGATAACTAAAAAATGAAATTTATTGTAATATTATATTCTATACTCTGTTTCCTATCAAGAAATAGTAAAAAAATAATAAAGCAGTAATTTATAGGGGCACTAACAAATAAATACAACCTAGTAACAGGTAATACACTGTATACTAAGAGAACTAATAAAGTAAAATAAACATAACAATTATACAATGGTAAAAGCTGTAACGTTTTGGAATTTTATGATTTTTTTCATTGATTCGCGCCTGATGTGTTTTCCATATTAATTACCTACTTTTCATATTATTTGCAAATTTAGGTTTTATTAGTATCTCCTGATAGCGAACGGATTGTATTAGAAAAATAAAGTTTTTAGGAAAATGTGGAGCTTAGTTATTTCAAACAAAATGTAATTGGAATAATTATTCCAATGTCAACAAAATTTTTACTTACTGTATTAAATGAATTTGGTGGCACAGAAATAGGTACAAAACGTTCGTAGAGAGATTTTTCCATTAAGCGTAGAGCAGGAATAACGAATAATATACAAGTTATTGCACAGGAAGATGGATAACTCGTTAGGCCAAATACGATTTTCAATGTTTCATTATACATAAGTGTCGCAAAGGTCGTGTATTTTCTATAACAAAATCATAATCATTTAATCATTGAAATCTTTCAAATTACGAAACTTTGACTTACCCGGGTTTCATATTTATCCTGCAAAAATGTATAGTAGCTTGAAAATCCTCGACGAGAACCCGTTTCAACATGTCCAATTCTCCCATTGAACTGTTCGTTATAATAACATCGTTACGAGTAAAACTTTGTTCAAGAGCTTGCTTTATTGCATCAGGACTAAAAATTATTGTATTAAAAAAGTATCAAATACATCAGGATTAATTATTACTTGTCTTTAGCTATACCACAATCGTTTGATTTATAACGGTATTTTTTAAGCAAATTAATTAAGGTGAATCTATTTGCATCTCTGATTTTGCCAGGGGCTAGTTCTTCTTTAGGTTCACAAATATAATTGCCAATTGATATGATTCCTATAGAAGGGCGTCTAGAAAAAAATGTATTAAAGTAAAGGAAGGAACTTTTAGGAAACTGAATAATTCAACTTACTTATAAACCAAAATATTTGTTTTTCCTAACATGGCTAAAACTCCAAGAGAGAAATGTTTGATACGTTCGCCTTTTTTTAAAACCAAAGAATTCTTCGATACGTCGCTTCCGATTCCTCTAAAAAAATTACTAGATATTCCACAATTGTATTTAAAAATTTTCCCTTACCTTATGTTTCCATTATAGTTGGGTGCTCTTTTGATTTCCACCTTAATTACTTTAGAACCATCAATCGAATATTTATCTACTGATGTATCTTCCACTGGTACCACTGCGTCTGCTCCCGCAGGAATTGGATCTCCCATCGATATTCTTTTCGCTTCGCCTGACTTCAGAACTTCATCGATTGGCTGCAACATTACAAACTTCATTTATTACAATTCTAATGAGCTCATTCTTTAGAAATCTCTTAAATGTATCTACATACATTATCTCCTGCAGTTGCGACATTCTTCACAACACGTATTCCTTTGCCATCGCTCCTTTTAACCGCGTAACCATCTATAATCGAAGTTGCAAATGAAGGAATCGATTCTTCAGCACAAAAATCTTCTGCTACAATTCGATTAAGCGATCTCTCCAAAGGCACCGTTTCTGTGGTTTCCTCTTTATCAGAACAAATATCCTTAATAATAGCAGAAGCAACTTCAACATCGATAATAGGGTAGCAGTATTTTCTTAATGGAGCCAGTTTCACCTACAAAAATAAAGACAAATTCGAATTGAGTAATAGTACCTTCGCTGATGTCGAAGCTGTTAATTTTATAAATTACCTTACTAAGGCTGGTGGTTGGGAAAACGGATGCTCCAGAGTCGCTCAGAATGGCTTCGTGACCAGAAACCACAGATTTTTTTTGTTCTGTTAGGAGCTCCAAAGCGAGGGGTAAGGCTTCCTTGATGATACCAAAGCATTCCGAAACCATTTCGGGGCTTCCCGGCAGATTTACTATCATCGTGTTGTCTTTAATATAGCTCAAGGGTCTGGAGAGCATCGCCATTGGATTGATCTTCAAGCTACTGATAATCATAGCAAAGATCATGTCTGGTAAATTGCCTGTTATGAATATTACGTTGATTTTCAAGTCGAACCATTCTGTTAGAGTCGATTTAATTTCCTGCATATCCACTGGTACGATTTTTATTGCGCTTATTTCGGCCGATGGAAACTCCTTTAATATTTCTTCTTTTAATTCAGGACTTGATGAATCATTGCCTTTACCCGCATAACTGCTGTCGCTGACTGTAATGGAGAGTCAATTTGAATCAAAGAAATGTAAAATGAGTTGCCTACTTACCAGTAAGTATTCCGAAGCTTATCTCAACAGGCATAATAAAAGTTCTATAAAATATTAAGAATAGATGTAATATGAGTAAAAAAATGAGGGAGCGGTCTACCCAATTTTCTTTTATACAAAAGTACAACAGCAAGATTTTGAAAAATGATCCTACATTAAGCTAGAGAAAAAAAATGTTATTGTCATTATTTATAGAATAGCATGTGGGTAATTCAATTTATACAAAATTGGGGAAGTACCAGTATTTATTTAAACTTAAATATACCTAGGTATCTTTATTAAACAAACGAAAAGATTTTATAAGTACAGGGTGTCCCAATGAAAAGTTTTCTCAAAAATGATTTTTGTTACAGTGATACAGAAATTATGCATTACCAATACAGGGTGTTGAATAAAAATCATCTCTTTTAAATTCACAGTTACTATTTTTTTTTAAATGGAACACCCCGTATATATAGAGGTATTGTGAATGATATACTCTTCTACTTTTCAAAAATGTATTATTTGTACATGTTATTCTACAAAAGAAAATGTCCTATTTCATAAAATTTGGTTAATGTGAATTTAAAAGAGGAGATTTTTATGAAACACCCTCTACAGGTGATACGAAATTTTTGTGTTACTGTAACAAAAAGTTATAGCAAATTAAAATATATCTTCGAAAACCGCAAGCTTTACGATTAGTCGTTTAAAAATTATTATAGTCTATTGCCAAAATAGTAGGCACTAAATTCTCAGAAATGATTGTGAAGAATTTGCGATAATGGGTCTCTCCCAGTGGCGTACGGAAAATATCGTGGGCTACAAGGTTGTTCGACGTGAAATTTAGCAAGAGACTAATAATTATCAGAGCAAGGATTATGTAATAAATGTTATTATATTTATATACAAATATTATTATATTAATAATCATTATCTTCTGAGGAAAACTCTTCGGATGATGAACTATAATCAAAAATTGAAATCTAACTATAAATTACAAAATATCGAATTGAATGCAGTTAAAAAAGTGTATATTAATTACCTGCATTTTAAAGTTACGCTCATGAATTTTAACCTGACCTATGTCAACGATTCGGCTAATATGTACATCTCCCTCTACCTTTCGGCAACTTTAATATGTTGTTCTTTTCTCCGCCTAAGAAAAAGCTCGATGAACGCAAGGTTGCCATTTATAAGTTTGAGACGCATAACATTATTTAATTTCTGCATTTCTTTTAATAAACATTGTATTTATTGAATACATTTAATTAGCAAAACGATACTTTAATGAATAAAACACGTTGTCCGTTATTCTATGGCTATTTAGCAACTTGTAAATCATTTAAATAGAAGATACTTAAATATTAAGAATCACAACCTGACAACAATGTTTTCGTTTTAAAGCGATATTATTTCCGAGAATTTAGTGCCTACTATTTTGGAAATCGACTATAGCTCATTCATTTTTGTATTTTGTATTTAAAGGGGCTATTTTTCATTGGGACACCCTGTATAACGAGTATATAATAATTTATGTTTGGAAGAGCAAGAAAGTAATTCAAATAATTAAGAATTGCGGAGGAATCAGAATTATAGAGGTTGAGTTTTTCTTTCGATGTTTACTATACAGAAATCTTTTTGGATATAAAAAAAAAAATTAAATGGACAAATTTAATATTTGCAGTTTTGTGAGACATGTTTTACAACCAGTACATCAATTTCGCAAAATATGACACCTATCAAAGTATTTAAATTTACTTGGACGACGAAATATGTATGGGTAGACCGCAAAAATTACGGTAGACCGCATGCTAGACCGGCTACAAAATGATTTTTCCGTACCATAAACGTGGCTGTGGCGAAAAAGTATTGGGAAAATAAAATAAAAATAATATTTTCTAATATAAAAAGCAATATGTCTACCGGTGCTTCACCGAATATTTAACAATCAACTTGAATAAACAAAATAATCTATACAACTTATTGTTGAAAATAAAGAAATAGTTTATTAAGCAAAAATACATCTTCCTGTTTAGTTTGCATTATAAGCAAAACTGTACGTGACTCGATATTTGTTTTCTTGTTTTTTTTAATTACCTACCGAGTCGCCATTTTTTATGAGATAATTTACTAACGAAAATATTTCAAAAAAATTGAATTCCTTCTTTTAGTCTTTGGATAGTTCAGAAGTGTCTTCCAATTATAATTAAAGTGAATTAAAATATTCATTTATTTCGGTATATAAAAGACAATTGTGTTTTATAAAGCCATTTCAACGATATTGACGATTTAATAAAAACAATATTTATCGATATTTTAACTCTTTAACACCTAAATAAACTTATAAATTATGTAATAATTATACAGACCTTTGCTATTTTTCCGGTGATTCAATTAACACAACTGAAACAGTAACTAATCTCGATGAATTAATTTCTCACTACGTTTTAATTTAGTAAGGCACTCGAACAGATACGGAGAGTTTAGATTCAGACTTCCAGTGAAGAAAGAAGTAAAAAAGCGCTGTGCTGGGGAATTTGTGGAAAATGCAACGTTGCCAAATATTCCTCTCTTTATCTGGGATTACCCTATGTGAGGATGACCAATCACAAACGCTCAATCGGCTCAATTGATATAACAGGTAAAAGGTCGAGGAAATTGAGTAGAGAATTGTCGTATGTACATACACCGTAGACAAAATAGGTACTATTTAGTACTATTATCTGTTTATATGTTAAAAAAAATCACTAAAAACGAAAACGGTGCAAAGAATTGGCCAATAAACAGAAGCACGATCGTATACTACAAGGTCTGGAAACTCGACTTGTGTTATTGGCGTTATCTAGTTGAATGAAGATGTTTATAATAGTTTACTTCAATATAAGCACTGTAAACATCCAAATTGTGGCAACCTGTAACAAGCTAAATGTTGAATCCAAAAAATATCCTCTACAACATTGATGCCTACCGGTCGATTTAGCAACTACGCAAATTTAAGTTTCCAGACCTTATAATATACGACCGTCCACTGAAGCTTCTTACAAATTTGACAGTAATGACAGTAGACGAGTGACATTTGAGGTTAGGTTCGGAATAATCGAAGAGTAAATAGGAAATTTAGGGAAGAAAAACTTCTGAAAATGCCGAAAAAGAAAACGAGACAACGGAAAAAGACCGAAAAGACCGAAATCAAAACTTCCATAAAGTAACATCGAATTGGCCGAGCATTCTTTCAACGTATCTATAAAATACGACAGGTATCACTTGTCACAGGTAAATCGCAGCGAAAATTATCAAAAAAAAAAAACAATTTTTAATTTCCTCTTAATTTAAAAGGAACATAAAACCCTTCTGTTACTTCTACCAAACGATCCGGAGACTTCCAAACATGCAACTAATGCAACAAAATCAACAAAAATGCATTTTGAAAACTGCCAACTGCGTTACCAAACACCCCGATGTCTCCACCGAAGGAATATGAGATGATTGTAAAAGTACTTTTTAATCAATTACTCGACTATAAATCATCTTTCGATTCATCCAGAGGGCCATTTTCGACTTCTACGAAACGTCCAAGTGACTCCCGAAGGAGGCTATTTGTGGAGATATTTCGAAAATTTCCTCTACTATGAAGATCAATTTCGAACATTCAGACCTTCGTGGAAGTTAAATTACAATTGTAAGTAAGAAAGACTTGAAGTGTCTTGTAATTGAATTGAATTCGGGGGGCACTTTTTGTATTTGTTGTTATTTTTTTAGCTTTGAATCGTAAATTCGGTAGACAAGTTCAAGCCGGTGGGTACGATGATAATAACTGTGATGATGATAATGATGATGATTAAGCTCAATCCAGTTGTTATACTTACGAGGATAAGGAAGATGATGATGATTACGAGGTGTATGAGGATGATGAAAGATCTAAATTAAAATAACATGATTATTAAAATATTTCCAATAAAGAACCGTTTCCAATTTCTGGAGTTTTTTTAAATTATTCTAGACTGTTCTAAATGATTCTGGAGCGTTCTAAATTCTTCTAGATAGTTCTAAATGGTTCTAGACTATTTTAAATATTGTGGAGCTTATAAATTAATTCAAGATAGTTCTAAATGGTTTAACACAGTTCTAAATGTTTCTAAATATTATAAAATTGAAAATTAAGAGGTTGTTTAGAAACACAAACCTAGTGGACACGGTTCTGAGAGTACCTACTAATTTTTATAAAAATTTTAACAAGCATTTTGAACATTCTTAGAGAGTAAAAATTCGCGAGTTTGCTCTCGAAATGGATAAAGACCTTAGAGTACAGATAAGTTTACAAAATGTACAGATAGTTTAAGGTTTTGGGGGTGGTTTTTGGGGCGGTTTTAGAGCGTAATTAGAGTTGTTTTAGAGTGATTTTGGAGCGGTTTAATGGCAG